CTCTCTCTCTCTCTCTCTCTCTCTCTCTCTTTCTCTCTCTCGCCATTCGCTCAAACTTTACCCTTCAAGTAACGTGATGTGCAAGGTAACTAATATTTTACTCAATGCCTGCTTATTTCAAGGATTTGTACGATTTAATGTACTGTATCTATATAATGTAATGTATTTAATGTAATCTATATAATGTAAATAATATATCTATCATATAATATTAGATACCGGTACGATTATTATATTTTATATCTTTGCTTATATTAGCAAATAAAAAGGTGTATAAATATCATGGTGTATAAAATATTACTTTAGATAAATGAAAAATATATTTATGATTAATGTATTAAACATGAATGTTTATTTAATACGATTAATATAATGATTAAATATAAATAAGTCATTTTGCGTTGACATCAAACATCTCTAAACAGCGATAGCGAAGCAATTGGCGACCAAAATATGTATAACATTTCCAAACAACTCAACAACAATAGCGTTGACTACAAGGAACCGATGGATAAGATACTACTGGGTGTGTCGTACGCGGCTATAATTGACACTGGTTAGAATTTTATTATAACATTATCAATAATTATTTTAAAAACCTTCGTGTATTTAATCACGTAAGCATGTATTTCTAAAATAAACAATTTTGCATTTGGTACTGCACTAAAGAGTAAGTTTACGAAAAATATATTTAAAGTGTAATATATTATGTAAAAATAACCATGATTTATTCATTTTTGCAATATTTATATATTATAGAGTAATTTAAATTAAATAAAATTAAATACTGTAAATTAAAATATTGTGCTATTGTCACTACAATAAAATAACTAGATTCAAAGACTGGCTTCAAAAAATAAAATAAATTAATTGTAAAATCATTTAATAATTTTATCAAATATTAATAGAGTTATACGAAAGTCCAGAATTGGAAATACAAAGCGGACAACAACTGCAACAACAGTCACGACTGGTTGTGGTCTCCGGTCGTACGCAACGTATTGTCGCCAATGTATTGGACAAAGGGTTCGGCGACCGGAAAGCCGACGACGAGTTTCGCACACTTCTGGACAATGCCTTCAAAGGGAAGAGTCGTACGAATGGCTCGAATAGAGTGGACGACGACTTGTGGCGCGGATTCGCTGTCTTCACGAAGACTACAGACGGCAACCGATTTCAACAGATCTCGAGACACATTGCGAGACAATTGGCACAAAACAAACCCAGCATTTGGTTTATGATTTCAGGTACATTAAAATGTTGTTTTATATTATATAACGTAAATATTACATAACTTAAGTGTATTCATATATCATAATATAATGTTAGATTAAATAAATAATTAAACAGTAAAATTTAATACAAAGTAAACTGACTATTAATTATTAGGTTTGCGGCCATATATCTGGAATTCAGTGCTGGCATTGATGACAATCCCGGCGTTTAAGGCATCGGTGGAAACGTCGGCCCAAATGCTATCCCCTCTGGGGGTCGACGGCATCGAGTGTTTGACCGAAACGATCGATTGGAAGCGCGAACTCAACGAACACAACATTCATCGCGCGTTTATCGCCGCAGCCGTACATCACATGGCATTCATGGACGCCATGCGGGTCGTAGGGGTCACTCCCGACGGCTATTTGGGCTCGTCGTTGGGCGAACTCATGTGCCTATATCTGGACGGACTGTGCGATCGGCGCCAGTTTCTGGCGATGTGCTCAGCGGTTCGGCCGCCGGTCAGCGACGGACGGCCGCCGGTATACGGCTTTCTGATCGGCCAGTCGTGGCCAGAGATTCAACGTCTATGTCAGGGCCGCACCGATATATACCCGGCCGAACACATTGCCCACAATCTGTGTGGTATTGGCGGCAACGAAGCGCTGGTACGTGAGCTGCACCGGGAGCTGTGCGCCAGGGGTGTTGAAACGCGCAAGGTCAGTCGCGAACCCGACCCATTCCACACGGAGTACATGTTTGAGCCCAATATAGGTGCGGCACTGGTGGCACAATTCACCAAGGTTGTGCCCGAGCGCACCCACCGTCTGCCCACCAATGGTTGGCTGTCCTCATCGCGCCCTACGCTCCGGGAGGTTAGCACTAGTGACGGGTGTTTCTCTCTCGCCGAGTGTTTTGCCAACATTTTGTTGTCTCCCGTATTGTTTAACGAAGCGGTCGATCGCTTGCCCGCCGAAGCACTCGTCCTGAATATCGCCACTGATTGCAAGTTAAGATCCGTCGCCCTAACCGGTAGAGTACAGGAGCGGTACGTTAAGGAGGAGGTGTCGACGAGTCAGCCGGTGTTTGGTATCAATCATTTGTTACGTGAGATCGGACTCGTGTTTACGGCCGGACACTGGCCTCGGATTCACGATTTGATGGCAAGTGTTTAGACTTACTTACGGCTCATAAGAGTGTGTCACATATTGTTGTGACTTTTTGTTTATTAAATGTTGGTTATTTAAAAATTATTTAAATTACTTGTAGTAATTGCAATTAATTAAATATTTTATTAAAGAGTATTTAATTTATCTGTTATAACTTGTTGCCTTCTGACCACCGGTGAATGACCAGGGTAGATAGGTGTAGATGCGGATGTGCGCGATGGCTAATGTCTTGAGATATGCCCAACAATTAGACACCAATTGCCACACAATTAACATACATTTATTGAGACGTTTACAAGTATAAGAGTACAGAGAAAGTGTTGGGGAATATGGCGTTAACCACAGGAATAACATTACAATAGGATTTGTATTACAATTAACAAATATCTCTATAATTAGTGCATTTGTAGTTAGATATTCTGCATATATGGGGCGTAATATCAATATACTGTTAATAATAAGAATCTGCATATAATAGCGTATAATAAAAATATAATAAGAATCATATAATCATAGAATTAGGCATATATTAAGCAAAAATTTAATTAAAACTTAGAATCGCATTAAACTAATATTTTGCTATTTGATCGTTATATTAAATCACGATAACTATTTAAACAGGAAATTTTTATAGCATATAAATTTTGTCGGTCACGTGACTATAGATAAATCTTTCTATTAATTTAAAAATCAAATCAGAAGATTATAGCTATTGAAGCGCCCGATAGACAGTGCGATGGCCTAAATGTTTGCTGTCATCAAATCGTGAACCCGAGGCCAGTGTCCGGCCGTAAACACGAGTCCGATCTCACGGAACAAATGATTGATACCAAACACCGGCTCCGGACTCGACTCCGACTGCCGAACGTACAGCTCCTGTGGTCTACCGCTTAGAGCGACGGCTCTTAAACTGGAATCAGTGGCGATATTAATAACGAGTGCGTCGGCGGGCAAGCGATCGACGGCCTCCTTAAACAAATCGGGAGACAACAAAATGTTGGCAAAACTCTCGGCCGCGAAAAACCCGACTTCAGTGCCGGTAGTGTAAGCCATAGGACGCGTGGGCCGGGATGTGCGCAGCCATCGATCGCTGGGCCTATAATGCGTACGCTCGGGCACCACCTGGGTGAATTGGTCCAGTAGCACTTGGTCCATATCGGGCACAAACATATTGCCAGTATGAAGAGAGTGATACGTTTTGCTCACTTCGGACACTTGTATTTGGCGGGCGCTCAACGCGTCGCGCAACTCATTGATGGCCACTTCACTGCCGGCGACATAAGTTAATGAATCGGCAAAGTGTGCGGACACACATATGGCGCGCCTATCCGCGCAATGGCGTTGAATTTCCTGCCAAGAGTTGGCGCTGTTGAGCGTCCATAACGGCCGCGGACTGGCCGGCGGCCGAACCGCTCGACAAAGCGCCAGACACTGGCGCCGATCGCATAACCCATCCATATATAAGCACATGAATTCGCCCAGAGATAGCCCCAAATAGCTGTCGGGAGTGACCCCTACGGCGCGCATGACGTCGACGAACGCCATGTGATGGACAGCTGTTGCTATGACTACGCGGTAAATGTTGTCTTCATTGAGTTCGCGCTTCCAATCAATCGTTTCGGTCAAACACTCGACGCCGTCGACCCCCAGAGGAGACAGTATTTGGGCCGACGTTTCCACCGATGCCTTAAACGCCGGGATTATCATCAATGGCGGCGTATGCTGTGAAATATTTGTACGCATACCTGACATCATTAATTGAGAATAAATTGTTATAATTTACATCAGTTTCGTGTATTAAATCAAAAAGAATATAACTATTCTTTACCGGTAAACATAAACCAAATGCTGGGTTTGTTTTGTGCCGATTGTCTCGCAATGTGTCTCGAGATCTGTTGAAATCGGTTGTTATCTGTAGTCCTCGTGAAGACAGCGAATCCGCGCCACAAGTCGTCGTCCACTCTATTCGAGTCATCCCTTCCTTTGAAGGCATTGTCCAGAAGTGTGCGAAACTCGTCGTCGGCTTTCCGGTCGCCCAACCCTTTGTCCAATACATTGGCGACAATACTATGCGTACGACCGGAGACCACAACCAGTCGTGACTGTTGTTGCAGTTGTCGTCCATTTTGTACTTCCAATTCTGGACTTTTGTATAACTCTATTAATATTTAATGAAATTATTAAATAATTTTGGAAAATGTTGCGAACTATTCTATAAACCACATACTTTATAAATGAATTTAATAAAATTAGAAAATTAAATCACAAAATATAGATTACCAGTGTCAATTACTGCTGCGTATGAAACACCCCGTAGTGTTGTTTCCATGGGTTGCGTGTAATCAATATTACGGCAATTGTGTTAACTTTGTGCAAAAACGTTAACTCATTATATTGTATTGTAATCATGTTTTAATATTTCAATATAATGATTACAATACAATATAATGAGTTAACGTTTTCAATACATTGATTTTTATACCCTTGCTTTATGCACGCAAATAATTGTAACTGTATGATTATGATGCATTTATTATATTATGACTTAAATACATGATCATACTGAAGTTATCTTTAATAAATATTATATAAAAATTTATATTATTTTATATTATCATATAAAGTATTACTGATTTTATAATGTCTTCAATGCAAACATTTGTCAACACATCTAATGCTGGAATTGGCGGCCAATATATGGATCACAACTCACAACACAATTGCCGTAATATTGATTACACGCAACCCATGGACACAATACTATGGGGTGTTTCATACGCGGCAGTAATTGACACTGGTAATCTATATTTTGTGATTTAATTTTCTAATTTTATTAAATTCATTTATAAAGTATGTGGTTTATAGAATAGTTTGCAACATCTCCCAAAATTATTTAATAATTTCATTGAATATTAATAGAGTTCTACAAAATTCCAGAATTGGAAGTACAAAATGGACGACAACTGCAACAACAGTCACGACTAGTTGTAGTCTCCGGTCGTACGCATAGTATTGTCGCCAATGTATTGGACAAAGGGTTCGGCGACCGGAAAGCCGACGACGAGTTTCGCAAACTTCTGGACAATGCCTTCA